ATGCTACTACACACATCCTACAGCAGTAATGCGCTGTATTTCAACATGCCATTGAGACGATGATGACCAAAACGATGGATGCGCCCACCAACAACCCAGCCGAGGTTGTTCAACAGCAGCACGATCGGGGGCGAACACCTCAAGACAGCTTTGGTCTTCAGATGGATGCAAAAAGAACACTTGGTCCACAAGACTGTATACAGGATGGGGCTTGGTGCATTTTTACGAAATGGGCCCCGGGCGGTTGTATTTGAGCTCGAGAACTATCCCACTGCCGAAGGATTCGCCAATCGCGCGTCTGCTACACGTGTACATGTGTGTTGGCGGCGCGGGTAAAAAAAACGTCCAAACCTTGTTTGACCCAGACTCGTCACCGCACCGTCAAGATTGGCCTATCATAGACATCGAAAACGAAAACGGAGTATATCACCCCTCCGTGGTAATTATTGTGTTTTGAGTCACCCTAGAAACCCAGAACCCCCCGCGTTGCCCGTCATGCACCTGTGTTCCTCTACCCCACACAGAGAGAGATAGAGAGGCACGACCCACGATCTGTCGTGGTCCAGTTCGCCGCACCCCTCTGTGGCGTACCCACCCGGCTTGGGGCGAAGCGTACCACTCCGTCGCTGCCTAGGGGTTGAGCGCACCCCTGAAATGAGCGACGATGACCATGGCGAGCGGGACAGACTGGCTTCCTTAGCCGATTGCTTGACCAAACGTGGCCCAGGCTTGCATAACCAACCCAGGGGGCCACCAAGCGACGCCCCGTTGTTGCAGGTGAGAGCTGTCGGTTTGAAGACCTGCATACTTCTGTGAAAATCGCTGTTCATGCTACCCTCAACAGGTGTTCTACCTATCTACAGCAGTTCATATGATGATGACACCCGCTGGATGACACCCTTCAAGTCTTGCGTTGATCCCGTAAATTCCCCGCCGTCGCTTCTTGAATGTACATTGTTCTTACGCGAAGCACGTGCATCTGTGCGAGCTCATCGCCATCTGTGCCTCGGGCGCATCGTTTTCTGAAGGTCTCGATGATGCCTGAGAAAGGTGTAAGGGATGGCAGTCTGTCAACTGTCGTAGTACGTACTCCACGCAATTCTCGTATGCATATGCACACGTCAAAGTACGTGCCTGGCACGTACTTCTTGCTAGCGTGCCGAGCTGCTGTGTTAGGGTGTGCCTCGCCTGATAGAGATACAGAGCGATGTCGAGATATCAAGACAGAAACACACAGCAGTATTGCTGGTGAACAATTGCTCGCTTTTACGGGCTTCATCCTATGGTTATAGACAATGTAGAAGTACATCCAATCAGAGAGAGGCTACCCCGTTATTTCAATCATACCCGACACTCGACGGCTCGACGGGGATGTGTTGAAGTCTTTACTGTGAGCGCGGAAAAAAACCGGCTGGACAAGGGCCTTTTTAGGGTCTATTTAAGCCTCTCATACTGATTTTTTTCCAGTGATGCCAGCAGATGCTAATCACTGGAACAATGCCTAGGTAGATACTACTCCTGTGGGTACAAACATCACAACATCGATAATTCGCATTCATCGATAATTTGGGTCGCTCAGTTCTTGGTGTGTGTGTGTCTTTTCGTCCTAATAATTATGGCGACAGTCCCCCCATTTTTCGTGGTGAGACGTGTACTACACTACTACACTTTCAGCGTATGTAGAGTACTACACTTTTCATTGTATTTTTTCGTACAACTATGCATACAACCATCCAGGGTCACACAGGAGGGGGTAAAGACCAGGGCTTTTTCCTTTTTTATTTTTATTTTTTATTTTTTGCCTTCCGACAATTGCAGATGTACCTCAGAAATCTTTTACTTAACNATTATGGCGACAGTCCCCCCATTTTTCGTGGTGAGACGTGTACTACACTACTACACTTTCAGCGTATGTAGAGTACTACACTTTTCATTGTATTTTTTCGTACAACTATGCATACAACCATCCAGGGTCACACAGGAGGGGGTAAAGACCAGGGCTTTTTCCTTTTTTATTTTTATTTTTTATTTTTTGCCTTCCGACAATTGCAGATGTACCTCAGAAATCTTTTACTTAACGTCTTATACTCTACATGAATATTAAACCAATACGAAGTACAACAACATATGTAGGACTTATCTCTACTGTCACTTACATCGTTCTTTTTATTTCTTTTCATGCCCCACCGTCCTCCTGCGGTGCGTGCTGAATTTTATTTTTATCGCGAGAAGGGTCCAGCCGTCCCGTTCCCTCGTCAACGGTGCTAACGTCGAAGTTTGGTACTCACGAGAGCTTTTTAGCTATATTTCATATTTCGCTTTCACCCGCAAATTTCGTAAAATTTTCACCCCATGGGGATTCGAACTCACGACCTCTGCGACTAGCGGATTACGAGGATACCACTAGACCACCGGGGCGACCGGTGCTGGGTGCTTGGAGTGGAAGGCAGGTCGGCCATGACGGGCCGTAGATGGGTAAAACTCGTTAGATTATTGGAGGCGTGCAGAAGCTCGTCAAAAGATGACGGTATCAAGTCACGCAATAACTCTCAAACACCAAAAGTAATCTCCCAATTACCAACATATCATACAGAAAAGATACACGACTGTCCGTTACCCACATGGGACATATCGTTGTGTGCTGGTTGGGAAATCGTAGAAAATAGTTGAATAGCATCCGCTTACGCTATCTATTCATTCCAAATGATTCTCTTTTCTGTAGGTCCAGAGCGGATTCGTTTTTTTGTCATTATTGAAAAAAAAAAACTCCATGAATCAACACCCTTCCGTGACACTCCCAAAGAGAATAGTAAATAATCCGTTTCTCTTCAACTCGTCACTGCAATCTGCGTAGATGTTACCCAAGATATGACACGTCATTTTATGCTACGATAATGTCGAAGAGCCCCCCTGCTCGTATGCATTGTCATGCTTCGGAAAAAAGCAATATTGCCCTCTTCTTCACCAACTCCTCCAAAACAACCATGAGAATCCCAAACACAACCACCAAAACAAGATCATCTCCAAAACAAGAACATCTCCTCCAAAACAATGAAGAAAAATCCCAGACACAGCCACCAAAACACTACCATATCCACCAGATTCTCTCGCTCTCTCTTGTCCAATCTAGTCTGTCTCTCTCTTTCTCTCTCTCTGCGATAGAATGCGATTCGACCCTAATACACTTCCATCACTGCAAGTTCATCACAAAGTCACGGTGCGTGTTCAGCGTTATTCGTTCGTCAAGAAATCTGAATGCTGAAACTGCAACGTCAAATGAGTGGTTGAACTCTCCTTCCTCTCCACCGGCTCCCTGAAAAGGTGATGCGTCACATCGATGTGCTCCGAGTATGAGTTCGCGATCGGGTTGCGCGCAATTGGAATCGCTCCCTGATTATCCTCGAAGACCAGAATGCACGGCATACCCGCAGCTGGCAACTTAAAGCGCCAAACCTTCAAGACGTCGGCAATGGCCACATACTCTGCTTCCGTTGCTGAAGGCGTAACGCACTTGTGCGTCCTTGAAAACCAAGTCACCCCCACCCCCACACATCACTAGTCCTCCTGACACCGACCTCCGGTCTGCCGTCTTGCTTGCGACGTCGGCATCCACAAACACTTGCATGCCCATACCGGTCACTACTCCTCACTCAATTGTTATAACCATCCTACGCACGTACAAATATCGAGTGCTGCTTTCCAGTGCACCATCTTGGGAGATGCACAACGCCGCGCAGCTGCTCGTGCTGCGTTCGCGATATCCGGTCTTGTTTGAATGGCCAACCACATCCGGAATCCCACAACTCGCGGAAAGGGATATGAGCGCACGTTGTTTTCTCGTCAAAGTCCGAGAGCTTCACGTTAACAGGCAAGGGCACACTCTTCGCCCACTCAACGCCGTACCCTGCTGCCAATTCTTCTGGAGCCTCTCCTGCGAAATCTTCCAACAGCCCTTTCTCTACATCCCTCTCGTAAAAGCACGCGGAGAATCACCTCAACTCTCCAAGGTTCTTCACGGGGATCATCTCGTTGATATCCACGCCGCACTGGTCACACCTCTCCTTCTGCCCTACAGAAAAATGTCGTCCACGTAGACCACGGTGATCATGATCACACGTCCCTCCTTAATCCATCGATCAACACACACATCCGGCAGGCACAAGCGAAAGGCCTATATTCAAGAAACACCTCGTTAGGTGCGCATGCCATTGTCGTAGTGCCTGCCTCAAACCGTACAGACTCTTGCACAGCTTCACGATCACACCAGATATACAACCCTGCCGTAGACGCATGGAAACATCCTCGTCAAGGTCAGGCTGCACAAATGTCTGCTGAATATCGAAATGGCAAAAGTGAAGGTTCTACTCACATGCCAATGCTGCTAAATAGCAAGTGTATAAATACCTACTGAATTTCGAAATGGCACAACTCAAGGTTATGCTTACATGCCAATGCTTCTAGCAAAGCGCACATGGGACGCGGAGACGGCGGGCGCAAAAAATTATCTAAAATCAATCGGAGCGCTCTGGATGTCCCCCCGCGCTGCAAGTCTTGCCTTGAATTTTGTCAGCTATCCGTATTCGTCTGCCTTACAGTGAAACACCTACTTGAAATTGATGAGGTTCTCTAGTTCCTGCATCCAACAACCAAAAAAATCGCGATCGACTGAAGCTTCCCACAACTTTTGAGTGTTGGGGACCGCATGGCCTTCTTGAACGTCTTCGGCAAGCGAAGGTCGCTGGCGAGGCAGTGGGGAAAATCTGGAGTCTTATCAAGCCGGCGCTCGGCGCGAAGAGCGGCATCAACGCCCTCGCGGGTGGTGAACATCGTCGCGAACACGTGCGACCTCTCGGGCCCCCCGGATGCCACGCCCCCCCCGGGCTCCTGCGGCCCCCCGCTCCCACTTCATCCAAGGCTCGGATGCGGCGGCGGCGGAGGCGGCCTGCTGCGGTGGCGGCGTCGGTAGACGGGGTGGCGCGGCTGCTGTGGGCGGCGGCGGCGGTAGACGGGGCGGTGTGGCTGCGGTGGACGGCCGTGCTGACGACGACTCCATGGAGGTCGGCCCCGGAGCTGCGGATCCCGTGAAGATCGGCGGGAAAGCGGACGGCGGCGATGCGGTGGTCGCTGTTGCGGGCGGGGTGTTTATGTACGTCCGCGATGGCGGTGGCGGTGGCGGTGCGGCGGAAGCCGCAGGTACGGCGCAACTCGTCGTTTGAGGCCTTTTTCGGACGGAAGCCGCCGCTCAACGTCGTCCCGTTTTTCCAGGACGGGATGGTGCAGGTCAAGCGCGCAACCAAGGCGGACGTTCAATCAGTGCGCTGCTTAAATGCATGGCGCCAACAACCACTCGACGAACAACGGGCAATCAGTGCGCTGCTTCCATGCATGGCGCCAACGACCACTCGACGAACAACGGACAATCAGTGCGCTGCTTCCATGCATGGCGCCAACGACCACCGACGAACAACGACGCTAGGCGTCGAGTGGTTGTTGGCGCCATGCGGAAGCAGCCCACTGGTTGAACGTCCGCCTTGGTAGCGCGCTTGACTTTCATCATCCTGTCCTGGAAGAAAGGGACGACGTTGAGCGGCGGCTTCCGTCCGAAAAAGGCCCCGCACGGCGACATCCAGCCCAGGTTTGCCTCCGTCGCAGAGCGGTTTAAACAACCGGAAGCCCAGATCGCCGAAGCGAGCCACAGGCGATATGCGTTGGCGTTAGTGTTGGGGATGGAGGCGAGGTTGACGGTATCGCCCCGCGTGTGCCTCGCCGCGGCATCGGGACCCGCCTGCCCTTCGCTTCCCCGCAGCCCACACACGAGTGCAGCTCCCCCACCAATCCCACGCCCTGCTGCTTGGGTGTCTCGCGCATTACAATTCAAAGCCTCTCGTTGCGAGCAAAATGCTCCGTCGCATGGTGTATCCGCGGGAAGGTCTTGGGGCCAGTGGTAGTTGGCATCAGCATCACTAAACGTCACTCCTTGCGATGCCAAGCTGTCGCGTAATACAGCATCATTGAACGTAACTCCTTGCGATGCCAGTCTGTCGCGTAATACAGCCAACCTACCGAAGCAAGGCTGGGGAGGTTCTCCCACTTGCATTTTGATAACATGGTACTCTGACGTCAGGCGGGATCTCTCTGCATTCGCACGGGGCTCGTAATAGATATGTTGTATTGAGGAGTGAGTCCACACAATACTCCTTTTATTCTTCTTGAAAAGCGTTTAAAAGGGTTTCACTCCACCCATAGTCCGGCGATAGCGCAGATGGATGCGCTTTGCAGCACTGCTGCTGAATGCCGAAGATCCAGGCGCAAAACAACCAATGGCGGGTACCGCAACCCTCACCATGAAACCGTGGCCCGAGGCACGAGAGAGAGGAGCAGAGAGACTGCAATGAACGGAGCAGAGCGATCGAGTCATGCTGGCGGCCTCCTCGGGCGGCCGTTGCCGTGTCTGCGCGTGGGTTACAGGGTATCATATCGAGTCCCGGCAGAGTGAGTTTTTTCTCACTAAGTAAATCCTGGTCTAGGATGAAAGCGACGCGTTGCAAAGCTCGTTTGTTAGCAAACCATAGTCGACTTCGTAAGTCGCGAGGAAAGGGATTGCTCTTCTCGCGATAAAAATATCTCAGGCAGGAACCGCAGGAGGGGGTCCAGCCCCACCCTCCTATGTGACCCCGGTTGGGTCGTCTAGCTAGTAGAAGTGGAGGATAGGGGCCAGAGGGGCAGACGACAGAGTCCAATGATGGGATAAAAATAAAAAACTAAAAAATAATTAGTCCTTGCCGGTTATTCCATACCCATACATGGTGGTATGTGATCTGCCTGGCATATATATTTTGTCGGTTTTGCGGACGCAAAAAAGCTGATAACACAAGTCAGCAGCAGTCTATACAGTCGTACCTCAGTTAAGGACGCAGTCGCACCTGTTTTTTTGCGTAAAAATACTATGTCCTTAGGGTTGATAACCCTCCTTCTGTTGTACATTCTGCGAGCCACATGCATGTGAAAAAAAATTGTCTTTCCCCGAGGGAGTTGTCTTGATTTTGGTGTCCTTAAGCGAGGCAGGACTGTCTTTTTTTTGCCGTCTTGGGGACGCACGATGCAGCACTTCACCATGTAGGCGAGGATACACGTAGCAGCAGACTCGGTTCCAGTTCTGATGAGCACTCTTGCACACATCGTATGGGATCGTTCTCCAAACGCACATTTTACGCTCTTCGTGTGCGATATTGCGCAACAGTCGGTTGGTTGCCCCGGTTCTCACCGCTGTTCCGGCGCATTTTGACGTTCATGTTCCCTCGAATCAAACCTCCATTACCAATCCCCCCATCATCCCTCCCGGCCTCCTCACGAGCTTCTTCTGTTTGCACTCTCCTTACACTACACTACCCTGATGGTTGTGTGTGAGGGCACGTAGGCCTTCGCTTGTTGTGCACCTAAGCGACATTTTTTTGGTCTTGAACATAGAGCATTTTCGTGGAGGAAAAAATGTGAAATGTGAGGTCCATTTCATTAGGACGGATCAAATCGTTGCTCGAAGGCTTGATCTACCGTAGTGGTTTTCCTATTCAATGCGTAAGCTATCGCACAGGAATTATTGTTCAGTGGTGCATACCTTGATTTGCAACACGAGGCGGGGACAGCAGTTCCTTCCCTCAAGTGCACTCAGTATTATGTAATAGCAAGCGCTTCGACGTACAAGGCACGAACTACCTTCACCGAATGTGCTGCTACAAGTTTTTTCGAGGCTGCCAACGACACCGTGTGGCGACGGTACATATCTTCTGCAGTCGGGAACTCGATGTCGGATCCCTTGAAGAGCGTGTTTTAGCACCCCGCATACGAAGAAACAACATTCGATGTTCTTGGACGGGTTGCCTGCACTCACCACACAACGGCGGACCCGAGAACATGAAGAGCACTCCACGGTATTACTCTTCGACAAAACCCCCAACACAGGTCACCGTGACGGTCATTGCCCTTTTTGCTTCCGTTGTCTCTCGCTCTCACCCCACAGGCACGGGTGCGCATCCCGGAATCTGCTACAGACAGGCGCGAGTGGCTGAAGCAACACTCGCAGTCCAGGAGGCGCCAGCAGCCTAGCCCAGGGAGCGGTCTGAAGACGCCCCACGATGGCAGAAGGCGTCCCTCTTCCCGCTTCCGTCCCCACGCCCACGCGGCAAGCAACTCCGAGTTCAGGGAGCGCACCACCTCCCGCGATTCCTCCGTAGCCGGCGGTGAATCGGACACCTCCTCTGTGAACTCCCGGCTCTCCACGGTGTCGACGCCCGAAATTTCTCAGCGGCAGCGGAAGATGCTGCAACAGCGGCACCAGCAGGTGGTCGGGCCGGCCTCCGTGGCCGGGTCACCGGACCGCACCCGGCGCTCTCGCGTGCCCCACGGCTCGATCACGCGGAGCTCGTCGTCTGCGTCGACGTCGGTTGTGTCCTCAGCGCCGTCACTGTCTCAACAGTCGTGCGGCGTTTGCGAGGCCGAGTTCACCCGGCTGCGCCGCCCGCACCGCTGCCGCCGGTGCATGGAGGCCGTTTGCGCCTCTTGCTCGCCGTTGAGACTACCGGTTCCCGGCTCGGGCAGCCTCGAGCCCAAGCGTACCTGCAGGCTCTGCGCCGGAGGCCCGTCGTCGGCGCGAAGAAAGGGCTCGGCAGCTGTCAGGCAGAACGCCGGATCATCTTCGGCATTAAAAGCTGCTGCAGCTCGCAGGAGTTCGGCGGGGCAACGCGGGGATAAGCCTGTTCGCGTGGCGGCGGCGGCGGCGGCGGCAGACACGGCCGCCAGTCGGCGGTCGGCCAGCCGATCGCACGACACGCGACACCGGCGGTCCAACAGCGTGGGCAGCATGATCACTCGAGCTCCGCTCAAGGCTCTCTCTGACGCTGCCGCGGCCGTCACGGCTGGGTTCTATGCCGATGGGGCGGAAGGTGGGGGCGAAGGAAAAGTGGGGGACTCGGCTGGCGGCATTGACGGTAGCGGCAAGAACAAGCTCACCCCTGGACGGTCGCCCAATGCTCAGGGGTCTCTTACCGGGAGACTCGCTGCGGGCGGGCTTGCGGCGTTGGGTGCTATCGGCACCGGTACTGCGGCGGTGGGCGCGATCGGCACCGACATTCTCCGGTCGGGCATGCTGTCGCGGCAGACGGATGCCCCCTCGTCATCTACCGGAGAGCAGCCAGCGGATGCTAATGACGGGACGGATGGCGACCCCCTTGCTGCCGGGGAGAAAGCATCGGACTCACGTGTTGCAGGCGGCGACGTTTCTCTGACTCGGAGGCTCGCGGCTGGTGGGCTTGCGGCTTTGGGTGCCGTCGGCGCTGGCATCGGACGGCCAGGAAAGCCACCAGGAGAGGCGGACTCCTCCGTCCCATCAACGGGAAGGCAGTCGGCGACTGCCAAACAGCAGGAGGAGGGCATCTCTGCCGGCGCGACGGTGAGCGATCAGGGTGTTGATGTTTCTCTCACTCGGAGGCTCACAACTGGCGGGTTGGCGGCGTTAGGGGCTATCGGTACCACCAGCACGGCTGCGTTGGGTGCTGTCAGTGCCAGCGGCACGGCTGCGTTGGGTGCCGTCGGTGCCAGCATCGGTGGATCGAGGAAGCCGGCCAAAGACTCGGATCCGTCCGCACCATCCGCTCCGGAGCTTGAAGACGTCATAGGCGGGCTCCCTGCTGGGGACGGCAACGTGACGGCGTCCGACGTGGGGGTGGAAGGAGTTGATGCTTCTCTCACTCGGAGGCTCACGGCTGGAGGGTTGGCCGCGTTGGGTGCTGTCAGTGCAAGAAGCACGGCTGTGTTGGGTGCTGTCAGTGGGAGGAGCACGGCCGCGTTGAGTGCTGTCAGCGCCAGCGGCACGGCTGCGTTGGGTGCTGTCAGCGCCAGTAGCACGGCTGCGCTGGGTGCCGTCGGTGCCAGCGTCGGCGGATCGAGGGAGCCGGACAAAGAGTCGGATGTGCCCGCACCGTCTGCTCCCGAGCTTGAAGACGTCATCGACGGGCTATCTGCTGGTGACGGCAGCGTGACGGCGTCCGACGTGGGCGAGGAAGGAGTCGACTCTTCTCTCACGCGGAGGCTCACGGCGGGTGGGTTGGTGGCGTTGAGTGCTGTCGATGCAGGCATCGGTCGGCCGGGAAAACAACCATCAGGAGAGGTGAGGGTGCCTACACCAGTTGCCGTCGAGGCGTCGGCGGATGTTGAAACCGAGAAGGAAGTCGTCTCAGGCGACAATACGACGGCAACGGATGGTGTGAACACAGAGGGCGGCGATGCTTCTCTCACCCGGACGCTCGCAGCTGCGGGAGTAGCGGCTTTGGGTGCCGCTGGTGCCGGCATTGCTACAGCGAGAAATCCACCAGGAGAAACAGAAGATTCCAAGCCATCTGCGCTAGAAATAGCAGCTGATGCTGCGCCTAACTTGGACGGGGTTTCGGGCGACCTCCCCGCTGGCGACGTCAGCGTAAAAGGTGGTGGCGATTCTTCCGGTCAGAGGCTCGCTGCGGGCGGGTTAGCGGCGTTGAGTGCTGTGAACGCAGGCGTTGGTCGATCGGGTAAGCCATCAGGAGATAGGGATGTCTCCATGCCACCTGCGGGAGTGCCACCAGCGGGTGTTGAGGTCAAGGAGGAGATCTCAGGCGACCTTCCTGCTGATGACGTCCGCGCTACAGCGTCGGCCGTAAAACCGTCAAGCGATGAGGACTCCGTCAACCGGAGGCTTGCTGCTGGTGGGCTGGTGGCCTTGGGTGCTCTCCGCACCGGCGTTGGCCGGTCGGAGGACAAGCCATCAGGAGAGGAGGGTGTCTCCTTACCATCTGCGGCAGAGCCATCAGCTGATGTCGAGATCAAAAAGGGATGCGATCACCCTGCTGATGACGACGTCACTGCGACGGCGTTGGAAGGGAGCTCCCATGGCGGCAACGCTTCTCATAGACTGGCATCTGGGGGGTCGGTGTCGTCGGGTGCGGTCTACACCGGCATTGGTCCGTCGGAGGTGACGCCATCAGGCGAAGTGGAAATCTCCGTACCATCTCCGGCAGACAAAGAGGATAAGATGAAGCTGAAGGCAGTGGTCGACGGCGGCGAGGGGGCACTCGCGGGGAGTAACGCAGCGGAAACAAGCTTGGCGTTTGCTGATCGACGGCCCGGGAAGGACGCAGTGAAGCACGAAGATGTTATCACCGAACCGGTGGTCCAAGTGGGTGTAACTTTAACATTTGAATTTCCAGAGGGAGGCAGGGGCTTGTTTCGTCCTCCGTATTCTGTAGAGATGGTTGTTTGTTGAGGACGTGCGTATCGCCCCGGCCATCAGGAGCGCTTGCCACCGCAAGGAATCCCTCAAGGACACGCTCATCAACGCTTTGCACTGTATGTTGTGTACTTCAACGGATCGGTGGTGACAACCACATGTAGCTTGTTAGTTGGCTTTGCTGCGGCGGTACGGTGGCTATTTATTTTCTGTGTTTTGCACTACACCCGGTGTTCGCCACTTTCCGAGAACTTCATATGCCGTTTGCCGTTGGACCCTTCTGTAGTCCTCACCAGCTCTTTCACCCCCACATGTTTGCACCAGGTCGCTGGAAGTGCAACAGTCCGTGAGACCACAGTAAGGACTGCGGAAGACGCGTCAACCGTCGCCGCCGCCGCTGCTGCTGCTGCTGCTGGGGGGGTTGCGACTGGACAATGTCTACCCACTTCGGCGGTGGTGACTAACGACGGCGAACGTGCGTTGGATTATCCTGTGACCCTGGAGTCTGTACCAGATGTTCCCACCGGTCAGAAAACGGTGGATACGATCAAGCACGGCTCGACCAAGCGTTCTGCCAACGATACCGAGGAGGCACCTGCCGTGGTCAAGGCTGAACAGGTTGGATATTGCTCAGTCTTGGAGAACCAGGGGGCACCCAAGCTCGTCAGTGACTTCGTTGACGATACTGCGGAGCCCCCGTCTTCGGGACCGACCGCACCTGAAGGAAGATCTTGCGTGTTGGAGCCGCCGTCGATACCTGCCGTAAATGAAGGAGTGGTTGAGCGAGTGGCTCAGTCGACCGTGAAGAATGAGTCGAAACAAAACGATCTGCAACAATGGGCATCTGGCATTGTCAGGGAACCCGTGGATGGAGGCCTGACATCTGTGGACGTTCGCGCGGCGTCGGTTGACCTGTCTGGTAAGTCGCAGTGGTGGTTAGGCAAGTCTTGCAGCCAAATATGATGGGTAATGGGAGTTGAGCGATCTTCTTGACGGACTACAATAGGCTAGACGACACATTCACTGTCGAACGATGACGGACGGTATGGCCGATCGAGCTGTAACCGTTACGTGCAAACAGGTAACTCTTCCAAAGTCTGGCCGCTTGGTTTTCACGCCCGAACGATGTTATTGGCGTTATTGCAAGATTGAAACCACTGTCCTGCGCTCACAACCGTCAAATGTTGCTTTTCTTTGCCGTGAGTGTCAACGCCTCTTGTCATTCCTCCGTTGCTGTTTATGATACTCATTTGGCGCAGGTGATGTCGATGTTCCGCCTGCAGACCTAGCAGGCAGGGTAGCAGAACCACCGCCTGCCGAGAAAGAAAGTCTCGGCCGTCTTGATTCCGGCCATATGGGCGTGACGAGACCCGACACGAAGGTTGAGAACAGCAAGGCTTCCCTCACGGGACTCGCTGCCGGTACCCTGGTCGGCGAGGGCACCGTTGATGTCGGCAGTGGCGTGGGAGCGCAGGTATTGTCGGGACCCAGTCTGGTGCTGTTGCGGACGGTCGGACGTTTGCTGACTCCTCTGCAAGGAACAAAAGCTCATGCTGCAAGGGGTAGTACACAGCACGTATTTTGATTTTTTGCTGTTGTTTGCACTACCCCGCCAGTGTGAACGTTAGGCTGAGATTGATGGTTCACTTTTTGCAGCTTTTGGTTCCGGCTTGAAAACTCCGTTGCCATGTCTTCTGACCTCTGTGTGCCGTGTGCGGACGTAGTAGGACCCAAGCAGGATTTGTTCAATTTCCAAGGCCGTTCAATATTGACACAACGTTACAGCACAGGTTGGTGGTCGAAGAGTGTTGTCTATGCACACAACAGCACATTGTTTTTCGTGCCGGACTTGATTCTTGAACCCTGCCATCGCCGACAACCCACCCGTGTGTTCAGGAGGATGCCGCTGCCGTAGCAAGTACGGACCGGCGCGCAGATGACGTCCCATGCTTCAGGGAAGTCGCGTCAGCGGCGCCCGAAAAGGGGGCAACGACGGTAGACTCTGCGCCTCCTAGCACCGACAACCACCGGACAACGTCCTCATTGCCTCTCACGGAACGCTTGTCAGTCCCTCGGATCGATGACGACACAACCATGGAACACCAGGCTTCGGCCCCGGATGCTACTAGGACGGAACAGTCGAGCTTGGTAGAGGTTGAGAAGGGATCCGAAAAAATGGGAGACGGAGAAGTGGCCGAGGCTGAGAGCGCGGCGGACGAGGCACCGAGCGGTTTGGAACCACCCCCAACGGTGGTCGGCGAGGCTCGGGTGGTGGACCGAGGGGCGCAAGTGGTACAAACAGTCGAAGAGGCCGGCACCGAAGACGTGGTGGGGGTGAGAGGCGTGCGCGGACTTGTTGACATCCTGTTAGAAGTTCGTTCGATTTCCAATGCTTGCCGCCCAATGTTTGCCACAAGCTGGAATTGCATGTATGCGGTTCTGTGCACACAACAGCAGACAATCGCTTCCCTCGCCTCCATGCTGGTTTTCCTCGCTGCTTTTGGTGACAAAGGTCGTCCCGCCCTAGCTCGTCGTGTATGACATTTCGCTGCCACCTCCCACTCATGTTATCGTGTCCATGACCCCGTTTCGCAGGATGCCGGCGGGATGCCCGCTGAGCAAACAGCCGGACCGACTGTGGATTCTTCGCTCGAAGCTCCCCAAGGGACCAGGCCCAAGTCATCCGTTTCCGTTCCGAGCGCGGAAGGACCATCGCAGGTAGATGGCGTGCCTCGTGTTGCCGTTGCTGCGATGGTAGCCTCCGTTGCCGAGTCAGTACCGGAGATCGTCCGAACCCAGCGTCCCTTGGGACGCGCTGGAGAAGCTACGACCATGGGGCACGCCGCCACTAAGGCGGAGGATGAGGGCGCGTCCGATGTGGCTAGGGCACCCAGTGCCGATGACGCGTCCGATACGTTCGTGTCACTTGAAGGAGTAAGAGAACCGTCACCGGATGAAGGGCTTGCTAGTGCAGCGGAGCGTAATTCGGCGGTGAAGGACGGGGCGCCAAATGTGAGAAGATCTGCTTCAACGGTGGAGGTGGTGATGGAAGAGCTGGAGCGCCACTTCCCGTGGACGCCCATGTTGAGCTACCCATGCCCATTTGTTTCTCCCTGGTGCGTCACACGTCCTCCGTTCTAGAGCATCGTGCAGCACAACAGCTTTGACGGCTCAAGTCCATGATGATGTCGCTTATCTACACCCCCAACTGTTGTCGCTGCTGCTGCTGCTGCTGCCGCTGCTGCTGCTGTTTCCGCTGTGTTTGCTGGTGCCCCGTTGCCGTTTCGCAGATGCAGGGGCCCGATTATTGCGAGGTCGACACAATGACATCGCTTGGATCGGGGCTTGTCGTCGGGACGAAAGATTTTTGGAGCCGATTCTCTGTAAAGCTGTTGCGGCTCATGACTACCGGCGACCCGAATCCCGTTATGGCGAGCCTGTTGTTCTTTGTCTTGTTTTTCGCGTTCATTGTCTGTCTTAGATCTGTGGACGGTGCAGGAGTCCAGAGATGATATTTTGCGAAGCGTTAGCCCATAGGAGTCGGGATTGGTCGAGCCCTGCTGTAATTATGTGTTATTTTCATATTTAATAGTTGTATTTCATATATTATGCACCCTGCACGCCTTTATGGGTAAGGCGCAACGCCGTCGACCCGGAATCAAGTGGAGGTTGGAGAAAAGAGACATGAGTGCGTGCGGACAGAAACATGAGCGGTGATTTCTGAAGCTTCTGCTTCGATGTTCGCGACGAACGAGCGATTGAGACGGGAGATGGACCGTAGGCGAGGATTCACCGAAGCAAGAGCTCCAACGAGAGACAAATATGTTCTCAGTAGGCACCAGGAGGGTGCGATTGGCGTGCGTGAGCCCCTTCGTCCGTGTTGCGTTGTGCTCCCAGAGAAAACGTGGTGCTACTGGCTGTTCGAGCTTGGATGAAGGGCTCACGTTGTGGAAGTCCCTTGGGTCCACTTGGTGGTACCCCACGGGCCTCCAGACGTCGGACGGAAAGACTGGTACCTGGTGAGTCCTGCGAATCTGAATGGACGTCTGGTGTCCTTCATTTCAACATTTTCACAGTTCTCAGAATTAACCCTCTTGCTTCTGATTTACACGTTACCATAGTACCAAAACATGTGGCGATGACTTGGCTTCGAGTCTGTCAATACAGCGCGATTGGACTTCTGGAAGAATGTTTCCCCTCGTCCGTTATTGAGAGCCACACATGTCGAGGCCGTGGCTCGTCATGCCCGTCTTCCCCTTGACAGCGGTGCGGTACACGTGATAGACGCGGACGCAATGTTGAGCGACTGCTGAAGCACGTGTCATCATAATCACCCGCCCCTTCCCCAACCTCACACCTCCTCTCAAGTGGGTTGGCGCTGTTGGCAAAGCGCTGTAAAACACGCCACCCCGAATATAGCACCCACAGTATCCGCTACCAAAGACGCGTGGCGCATGGACGAGTGGAGTGATGATAGCTGTTTATTGCCAGAGGTGCCCCGAAAACGTTGCCCTTTCCCACCTGTCTGTTTCAGGCCATTATTCCCCAGTATATCTACAGGCTTCTCCTGGCTGTGCCATGCCTCAAACATCTCTCTGCACAATCCTTCCATTTTTCCCAGCTCCGCCATGTACGTTTATCTCTCGTAAAACGGACATTCCGCAACCACATGAACTCGGTCTTATCAATTGGAGCCGCATCCACATTTATTTGTGCGTGTGGTGGTCTCCGTCTACTCCGGCGTACCTTCCCATTTCCCCGTGGACGCACTCGAAGGTACTCCTAAACTTGACCTTCAGCCATAGTCCCCGAGACGATTGAATCTGTTCCTGCGTTCAACGTTTCACATACTTGGAGGCCCTCCTTTGAGCTGGTTTCTTCCCGTAGGTCCAATTCTTCTCTCTCAGCAAAAGTATCTAATGCCTTTACCTTGAACCAACCCCCCAGGCTTCCTTCCGTTGCCAACGTACCATATTCGTCGGTTTTGAACCCCCTTCAAACTTCCTTGACACTCTCTGGGTCGCCATATTTGCCCACACCGCCTCCCAAGCTGTTTTCGGCAACCTCTCCTTTCCCATGTCGTGCATACGTACGACTTGTACCATCAGCTTCCTTGTATCCGTGCTTCTGCTTGTGCAACAAACAACACCATGCACCGCCATATAATCCAGGACATCCATTGCACGCGCGGCTCAAAAAGCGGACCAAGCATGTTCCTCTCCACGATCGTAATGATACGAGGTTTGCGACCAGCGTGATGCAGCTTCAACTATCGACTGCAGCACGAGACCATCGTCACCGCACAACACGTGGTGAAAGCCACCCAACACAAGCTACACGAAGGTGATGAAAATCCAATACAACGAGATACTGTAGTTCTGAACCATCCTTACCAACCTCCCCTTTAACCCCCCACAATGCCACTGGAAACGAGCAACATACACAAACAGGCCGATTCCTGCTACTTCAAACGCTTGGGTCTCCACAGTTCTGCTCGCTTCTCGATCGCCCCTCCTCCTGGATAACAAGCCAACATCTGACTGCCAACAGCTGAAAGATCGTCGGACGCAATGCTCGCAGAAGGACTGATCCACATAAACCTCGAAGGACCAGGTACGTCAAAACACCTGTCTAAACACCCGTGAGCTCCACCAAACCAAAGCTACCGGAACTCCGAGGGACTAGGTTCCATCAACACATCAAATTTCCAAAGCTAACCTGCGCTCCGATGGACCAGGAATCAGGCTTCGTCGTTGGCCCAGACGGCTACGCCGGCGCGCCGCCCTGCCATTGGGAAGGGCGGAATCGCACATGGTGCACATGGCGCACATGGCGCACATGGTGCACTTTTAGTCGGACACGTACAACTCACGCTTCCAAGAACCACCGTGGCGTGTGGGTGCAAAATGCGTCGGAGCCCCCACCGGATGTATCGGCATCTTTTCCGCTGGCAATCGGTCAGCTCACATGGCCGACACAAAACAGATCGGAAAACAAACACCATAAAAGCAAACGCAACACAAGCTCAAACAATGCACACCCAAGTATGTGCCACAACGATCGTCTACTTTCTCGGGCCACACGACCAGTTCAGGTCCAAAGCATCTCCGCACCTGGTACAGGCAGGACCCAACGGAGCAGGGAATCGATAGCGGCGCAGAGTGGTCCGGCTGCTGGTAGTAGGACACGTAGGACCCGTCCACCTGGATGATTACGATGAATGTACGAAGACCATTTCGGTTGGGGGAAACGGTCAGTGTTAGCGTTCCGGCCAGACTCGCCCGCGTGGGTTGAAGAGCGGGCGGTTGCACAAGCGGAGGGCGTTTTTCACGCGACAATGGGCATACGCCGCCAGATTCATCGCCACTTTTGCTGCTGTTGTTGTTGCTGTTGTCTTCACATATAAGAACATGCCTACTCACCCCCATGTATGCCTAAACTAAGAACATAGCATTCTGCGGGTTTGCGATTACCCCAAGAGCCGAGATAGAGGACGAGGAGAGAGGGGGGAGGGGGGGGGTTCGTACGGTCTTATGAGAAACGCCAAGGAATCCATGGGGTGGTGGTGATGGCTTGACATACGAATGTACTGGATAAAGGTCGACATCAACACCGCGAAGGGTGTAATGAATCCCAAACAGCACAGCTATTTGGGACAACGTTGTCCCAAATTTTTATTTGGGACAACACGTTTAACTCGGCGTAGAAAGATCGGATCGACCTCAAACCAAGTTTGTTGTAAACCTACTGGACACAGCTTTCACGGAATGTATTTTGAGTCCACAACGGAACCGGGGCCGAGGAGATGGAGCTTAAAAAGGGGCTCCTTGTTATGGAGGAAAACGTGGTTTTACCGAAGCCACGGAGCCCCTTTTTTTGGCTCTATCTCCTCGGCCCCGGCTCCAAGTTTGTTGTAATCCTACTGGACACAGCTTTCACAGAATGTATTTTGAGTCCACAACGGAGCCGGGGCCGAGGAGATAGAGCCTAAAAAAGGGGCTCCGTGGCTTCGGTAAATCCACGTTTTCCTCCATAACAAGGAGCTCCTTTTTTAGGCTCTACAGTAGGGGGCCCTCTATAGTGCCGGTATGTGTTCAGAGAGCAAAGCGGCACTATACCGGGCACCGGCACTATTCAGAGTACAGAAAGACTTGATATTCCGGTGTGTGCGAGCCGAAAACACCGGCACTATACCAGCAACCGGCACTATTCAACCGGCACTGTATCGGGCCACCCACTGTATCTCCTCGGCCCCGGCTCCGTTGTGGACTCAAAATACATTCTGTGAAAGCTGTGTCCAGTAGGATTACAACAAACTTGGTTTGAGGTCGATCCGAGCTTTCTACGCCGAGTTAGACGTGTTGTCCCAAATAAAAATTTGGGACAACGTTGTCCCAAATAGCCGTGCTGAATCCCAAAATGTGTTAAATTTCTTCGCCTTCATGGTGCGAGAACTCACACGTTCACTACCACTACTGGATTCCACGGCAGACAACACGCTAGCCACGTAAGATGTCTACAAATGAACGAAACTCTCACGGGGCTGTAAAACACGCGACACCGAGAGGCGGCAATCAATTCACATCCAATTCGCAAGTAAGTGTCGATTCACCTTCGTTCTTTGCAGGGGATTGTGATGGGCTTTCCACCCTGCGGGGTGGATGTAGTTTTATGCGTCTCGTACCTGTTGCCATTGGGGGACGCGCTGAATGGAAACCTGACCCCGCCGGGCGGGACGCAAGAAAGGAGGGACATCGGGTACGATGAGGAGGGATGTTATTAAGAGTGCTATCCTAGCCTCGGCGACACAGGGAGTTCTTGTACTGGGCAGCGGACCGAACGCTGCCGTTCAATAGGCGCCGACGGCCAGACACACCACCAGAACTGTCAGATGCTCGCCTTGTTACCCGTCGTGCAGACACCCGAACCTAACGCAGGGCTACGCTGATCAACACTGCACGCGGTACACCTGCACTTCATAGGTTGCCCCACACCGGCAAACAGTACAAAACACGCCCTACATGTCACACCCAAACTACCGATGGCCAAACCTTGCAATCGCTCGTGTCTTGGGCCTTGGCCTCGCTAGCTTCTTGACCCTCGATTGGAGGGGCTTTGGTCTCCAACCTTGGAAATCGTTCATAACCCAAGCGCCTCGACCTAGTAACCCTCGATAAGTAGAACCCACGACATGGGTCTTCCCCAAAGTATCGCGTCTCACCCCTCACACAAGGCGTACTCCTCGGGAGAACAGAAACCCTCCATGTCGCCGCACTGAAAATCACGCAGTCACGCTCCCCCACATCCGTTCCGCCGATGGGGAAGCACTTGTCGCGGTAAACCTGGGATGAACGGGACCAAACCACGGTCAAACCATGAAAAAACCCACCCCACGAACCGAACGCAAACGTGTTTTGCAAACCGCCCACAAAAAAACACCACGCCGCAAACAGACCTGAACGAAAAATAGCCAAGATTGCAAGCCGCCCTAAAACAATATCACCACGAAAGGGCGCGGCGAAGATGAACACGACTGCAATCCGCCTCCCCCACGGTGGGAAACGAGAACAAGGAGGAACCAGTAGAACATAGATGGAAGTGGGGGATCGAGGAGATTGCAGTAGTGGACCAGTACACATACCTCGGAGTAGAGATCGCAAAAGACTGCTCGTGGAATGCACACATGTCCAAGGTAGCGGAAAAGAGCAAAGCACGAGCAGGAAAGCTGCATCCAATACTCGCAAACCGGCACCTCGATACACGCATCAAATTGACGGTTTTGAAGAGCGTAATCGTACCGCCGCTAGAGTACGCCGGAGAAGTATGGGAAGGAAATAAGAAGGTAGT